GTAGAAGAAAGCAATCAGCAAGAAGCGCGATCGCAAAAACCACACCCTGCGTTTCTGAAGTTGTGAATGTCTCAAGGTATACTCTTATGACTGGAGAATATCCCGCAAAAGAACCCGAATTGGCCGGCACTCTTTCTCAATATGGAGTCCGCCATCTGTCGGCGGCACTTCTCACTACGCGTGCATCGTCGGCAAAGCGGCTCGTAGATTGCCCAAAAACAGGTTTCTGTTGTTTTGTTGTTTTTATTAATGAGGTAAGAACTTCTCTTTTTCCACTGTAAACTTCTGCCACCTGCTTGCACCTCTGTAGTAAATTGTAGCGTGATACGTTCAAAAACCGATTTTTGCGTGCCGTCTGAAACGCCTTAAAGGCGTTAGATTACATGATGTAGATTAATATTTTCAAAATAACAATGGTGACAGATGTTACAACTTCACTTTCAAACCCAAAACCCTCATACACAGTGGCTGTGTTTGAAGATGTAAATGCGAGCGGACGTGATATCGCTATGCATATCTTTCTCTTTCTTTTTGTTTTGTAAACATATTTGCGGATTTATTGCATAAGTGCGTAATAAACTCAACTTCATGCGGGGGACGTTCTTTTTTTTTAGTTTCCAATAAATTTAAGAAATAAAACAACAAAAGTGATGAAAAATATTTTAATATAGTCGGAATTTGGGTGCATACTCTTAGCTACGTCTTCACACAAGTACCTCAAAAATTAAGGCAAATATTATGGCGCGGCACAGGCATTTGGACGCCCTCACCAAAGCGAGTTTCCGCCGGAGTTCTCAGTCGTGGCGTCATGCGTCAGCAGGACCATAATTACCAACCACAAACGTGTAATGCGTGTAGAAGAAAGTACACGAAGCTTCGGGAAGCACGGACAGATCGTCCTTGATGATGGTGGTCAGGAAAAAAACATCTCTGGTGAGTGACCGTCGTGTTGATCTTCTGATCTTATAATTAAAAACCAGAGTACCATTCCTTTTTTTTAAGATCATGCAAACTGTATCATAATGGCTGTCTAACCCTGCGCGGTGGTTATTTAGAAAAGTAGGCAGAGTATGCCTCCACATTGTGTCCATAATTAAAAAAAATCGCAATTGGATTTAACTTAGTTTATCGAAATGAGAAAGAAGAACTCAGAACCAGAGTAAAAAAAATTATGATTTTCTTTTTTAACCTAGTAACTTGGATATATTTTATTTAAGTCATATGTATATGGTTTAAATTTAACTTACATGATTTAAATAACAACAGTTAGAAAACAGCGAGTATTAACCTTAAATATGCAAGCTTTGGTGGTTTTTTTTTGTTTTTTTTTTTAATTAATATCTAACAAGAATCTTTCCTGCTTGATCATTCTTTGCTTCAAATAAAAAAATAATCGCCCGTTTGAACCAAAACCTGGAAGAAAAACGCTAAATAAAAAAAAACTTCATTAACTTTTTTAAGTGTTTATTATATCATTTTATCCAAATCGGTTTGATTTTAGTTGTGATTTTAATCGTGATTTAAATCACAATTTGTATCATCTTGAATTTTGCTCTCCGTTCTGCTAAGAACCCTGTCGAGAACCTTCTTTGGGAGGGGCATCCAAACGCTTTTCTCGTAATATTAACTGCCTAAATCTATGTGGTGATCACGTGGAGAAGTAGTTGTACAGTGTGTCTATGTTGTGTGTATATTAAAAAATATTTTTTATCAGTTCATCAGAACTTAAAAAAAAAAAAAAACGAAGAAAAGACTCGAAGATACCCTAAGGTTTTTGAAGCACCTGCTCTCCCAGAAAGCACTTGAGAGAGTGAATCGCTGCAATCGACGGAAGGTGACGGGGCGGATATGATGTGTAGAGCACGGCATGGCAGTAAGCATGGCGTTTCACTGTGCTTACCAACACTGCGCAAAAAGCCAGTTTTTTCTATTTTTTTTTTTTTTGGGGGGGGGGGGGGGGTTGTCATTCGCCGAGAGCCGTCCGTAGATTGGGAACAGCTGGCGCTCCATATTTTCTTGGAATTGAGGGAATTGACTTATCCAACAAAGAAATTCGTTACCTGAATCCGACGTAATTATATTTGAATAAGGTGGTGAGTTCGGCCAGTTGGTTCATAGCCAAGGAAAGCATTGCTCAAATAAAGCCAGTGCCAAGGCAAGAGGGACAAGACAAGGCGCGCCAAGGCGCCTAGGGAGGCGCCTAATCTTGTCCTTCTTGCCTTGGCCCTTGGGTTGTTTAGGCGCTGTTATCCTTACTTACTTATATTTCCTCCTGTTTTAATCTATTGGCCGCGGCTTAGGCTAGGAAAGACATTTCATTTCAAAAGGTTATCGTACAATAAAAGTGCACTATTTTTCAAGATAAAGAAATTTCGCCCTTCTCGACGTGTTATACCTCTGTCAGACAGGCACCTAAAAGGACCTTTACGCCAAAAGCCTTTCATACGATCTTTACGTTCTTCCGTGTCAGACAGCACAAGTAAATGTCATTCAGGCGATGTTTACAGCGATTGAAATCTCGTAACTTGTTCAAACGCATAAATCACATTCACGATAGAAAAATAATATTTTGTCGATATAACTATTTTTTTTTTTTGTTTTAGAGCGCAGCTCTTAGGCGCCCGTTCCCGGCTTGAGCAGCGTCACCGTCAGCGTCGCCGTGAACGCATAAATCACGTTCACAATAGAAAAATTATATTTTGGCGATATAATTAACTATTTTTTTAAGTTTTTCTTAAACAGACAAAATTTTAAACAATACAAAATGACAAGTTTAGTCGAGTGATTACAACAAAGTCCATTTTAAGCCCAAGCAAAGTGGTTTTTTGGCAATTAGCGGCAACCCTGAGCGTTTCCCGCTCACTCACTCCCAACGTTACTAAAACACTCAGTTGGGAAACTCCCATGGAGACAGCCCTAAAAATATGGCCCCAATCTGTCTCCGAGCACCGAGCTAATGACGAACACAACGCCACCATTTCTCCCGCAGCGGCAACTCGAGAAACTGCACGTGACTTCTATTTTTGGCTTTCAGGGGTGAACCCCCGTCTCCCCGGCGGACGCGCCGCGTTGAACCACTGAAGTTAAAATGCACCTAGGTCGGGACGCGCTACCTGAAAGGCCCGCTGAGGCATGGTTTTATAAAAACAATATTAATTGTTCCGCAAAACCTTGCGAACTAAAGATGATAAAAACATCACGCGCCCATCATTTGGTACTAAACTCCAATAAATTTCATACAAAAAGAGTCTTTTCCGTTTGTTTTTACGCAAAAAACAAGCTTTCAAAAAGCTCGAGGTGACCATAGTACAGACAAACGAAAAAGAGTGGCGCTGTTGTCGCATTTAGCTCGGTCTCGGCGGACGCCAGCGGCCCAGGTTTCGACGGCGAGTTTCCCAACTGAGTGTTTTAGTAACGTTGCTCACTCCTAACGTTGCTCAGTGCTCCCGTTCCTTTCCGTCGTTCCTCCTCCGTCGTTCGACATATCGCATGACGCGAGAGTGAGATACAGAAATATAAATGTACAAAAAACTGTTAGAAATACACTATTAAAGGATGATCAAGTATGAAATAGAGAAATAAAAGCTAGATAACTATGGTTGTAAGGAAAATCGAGAGGAGGAAAACCTAAGTGCCGAAGCGGACGATGCGAGCAGGCGAGCATCGGGACGACGAGGTCTACAAGATATCTGGGGCCATGAGTACAGAAAACTATTAGTAGAGCGAAGTATGTACAAATATACGTCAAGCACACTTTTTTACAATATTAAACGTACAAAAACATTGATTTTAAATATCAGTGTACGCTCGTTTATTTCAATTCGCTTCTCTAGTGAAGACCGCTACTGATGAGAGTACGCCTTTAGCAGCCGTAAAGGAGTTGCAGGAACTCAGGTTCACGAAAAGGACTTTTAAGCTAAATGCCATTATAGTTCCCGTGTCGCGCTGCTTAAATGAAATTTACAATAAAGGTCCATTGGCGTAAAGGTCCTTTCAGGTGCCCGTCTCACAGGGCTGTTAACACTGACCAGTGTAACATATGTCCCATTGTGCGTTGAAAGAACAAATCCACACTGCTCAAGATTTACTGGAATGCTATTTTAATATCAAGGAGGATGCTCTCCCTTCTAGCAATGTGTTTTAATGCGATTCAGTGCATACCTTTAGTGAGATTACTCGAGAACGGTCTGGGCCTATTTGTTGAACTTGTACGTATCTCCAGTTGTTTAAAAACGTTACAAAACACAGCACTGACGTCTATTCAGACCATCCAGTCTTTTGCCCTGGTGTTGCAGTGATTAGGTATAGTCTAAATTAAATAAAATAAAAAACAAATCAGATTGATGTGTTATTTTTGTTTGTAGTGGATTACAGAGGCACGGAATAACGAGGGTTAAGAAAACAAAATCTTACAATAATTAGAAGATGTAACTCGAAGAAACCCACATCATGAAGACAGGAGTGGAGTCAAGCCGGTTGGCTTTCAAATAATATCTTATAACAACAGCACGGTCCTAATAAAGGCACATTCTAGAGAAAACGAACGACGTATTGTCGTTTGCCTCTTACCTTAACCTCCTTCAAACTTATGCAAGTTTGTCATGAGGCGAAAAGCAAGATGCAGAGTAAGTAAGTAGAAGGGATAGTCCACTTTGGTATACCGAAAACATTTTTGTCTGCTCGCAGATTAGCCTGTAGAATTTGTTTCAAAAGTCAATTAAAATGTTTTATACTTCTCTAAATAGGTTTCTGCGGTAATAAGCATTAAATTATAAGTGACCGAACATGTGCATAGTTAGCCTTGCAATGTTTGTTGTATTTCACATAATAATTGCTCAGAGAAGCAGCTGCTCCACTTGAAGAGTTTAAATGTGGTATACGTCTTAATTTGACCTTGTTTAGTTAATACTTTCGATTAAATTTTTAGCGAAGCATTAAACTTTGTTTTCCACTGAAATCAGGTAGTTTGACACCTTGTTAATTACCATAAAACCCATGACTGTACAGATCTTTATTGGAAGGAGCGATTTTTTTCGAGAGCCTGGCGGCCTCCGAATGCTGACGTATGAACACGGCGTAGAGAAAAGCGCGAAGCGTTCGGAGTCAGACGAGGGGTCCCAGGGAGGCCTCCTGGTCGATGAGGCAGGGCAGACGGAACATGTTGCTGTTGGAGCGAAACCACTTGTTGGCAACTGCAAGACAAGGGAGTATCAACTTTAGGAAGGCTGAACATAACCCAATGAAAGATGGTTTAGCATTCGTCTATGTAAATTACACCAACAGTTTATCTTTTTTTCTATTTACATGCATTTGTATATGTGTTGGGCTTCAGCTGCGGACAGAGTCTATCGGTGGCGTCTGCAAAATAAATAGCGAATGAGACGTCAAAAATATGAGACTGCTCGATTAGGCTTGTTCACAAACTTGCGACTATACTTACGACCGAGTGCATTATGACTTCTTGTAACCTCTTACGACGAGAGAACATACTGACGCCATTTGTGGGCCAGGCGTGGATCACTTGCAACTTCCGTATATTCTATCCCTTTTTTCACGCAGAATTCTTTCTTTAAGAAAGAATTCTGCGTGAATTCTTTCACGCAGAATTCACGCGTCTTCTAAACGACAGTAAGTGCGCAGGCGAGCTGGTGGTAGCTAATCATGTTGTTTAATACCTGATACTGTGGTTCAGAAAATGAAAAAAAATATATATTTTTGTCGAAGGAACAGACACCAAAGTGAACGTCCCGAACTCAGCTAACTGGTTTATACCTTAGGCATCTTATATATACCAACTCAAAGGTACGCAGTCAAGATTTTGATTCGGGGGGTGCGCCCATGAGAAAATGCTGTATGAGGAAGACGGGGAGAGGAGGCCCCGGCAAAATAAAAAATTTCGGGGGGGGGGGGGGGGAGGGACGGGCATCAAGGGCCTCCCCCCCCCCCCCCCCCCCCCCCCCGATTTGGATACGTGCCTGCCCACACAGTCACTTTCAAACACCTTCTACGCAGATATCTCCTTTCGTTGAAAGCATATTCAATACTATTTCAATGTATTTGAAAATTCTTTCATCAAAGGACATATCTGCGTAGAAGGTGGTTGAGAGTGACTGTGTGGTTGTATATAAAATGCTTCATAAATAAACCAGTTAGCTGGGTTTGAGACGTTCCCTTCTGTGTCCGTTCCTTCGACTAAAATATTTTTCTTTCTTTTCTGCACCACAGTCTTAGGTGTTCAACGACATGATTCTTTCTCTATCGGCTTTAAAAACAATTGTTAATATTATAAACGACAATTTCTTATAAATAGTACGTACTTTTGATTTCGCAAATAATGCAAAATCGTCGTTCTAGAAAAAACGTTGCTCAAGGAACACCTAATGAATAGCGCCAGCGTGCCAGTGTGTTGTATTATCGTAAGAAATAACAAAAGCTCGATCGGAAGCAAGCACAAGACTTCGAACAAATCTTTAATCCACGTTGTGTCGAAAATATAATACTCTGCAGTGAGGGCCCAAATACCATATATTTAAAACGCGAAGATCGCAACAGAGGCTCGTAAATTGAATACCCTCACGAGTTTCCTTTGTGCTCTGTTCTGTGGGTTCTGTTCCAAGTGTTCTGTTTCAATTGGGGATGCCGCGAACTTTTTTCGAATCGAAGTTTCGATGATCGAATCAAGCGTTTCGAAAGGTTCGAAAGATTTCGATTTTTCGAATTGTCTATATCGTAAAATTCGACGGAGGTCGAATTTTCGAACTTGTTAAGCTAAGAAGTTCGACACTTTTCGAACCGTCGAACTTATTACGCTAAAAAATTCGATATTTTTCGAACTTTCGAACTTATTGCGCTGCAAGGTTCAATGCTTGTCGAACTTTCGAACTTGACTGACCAAAAAATTCGATGAATTTCGAACTTTCGAACTTATTTATCAAGAGAATTCGAAAAGTTTCGAACTTTCGGATTCTGAAAAGTCAGAAGTTCGACGAACTTCGAACTTTTAGGGTAAAAGTTCGACGTTCGTCGAACTTCGAAAGACCGGCGGACGGTTTTATTTGATTTCAAGTAGTGGGGTACATTCGTAATTTTTTTTCTCGAACTTTTACACGCGGTGCTGCGTTCCTTACGAAAGACAATGTCGTTTATTTCAATGTTCTGGCATGCTTAGGTTTAAAGAAATAAGTCCCCGAAGGGGCGAGGAAGGACGACGGGTTTTTGACGATTATCGTTTGTGCCAGATTTGAAGCACGCTGCAGTCGGAGCTATTTATGGTAGATATGTTATGCTTTTTTTAAGAATTATCTATGTATAGCCTAGGTAAGTGCCGTCTTAAGATGTGATTATTGTTATTCAACGTGAGTTTCGAAGAAATGTCCAAACATGTATCTGCATGCAATTATAACCTAAACTTGATATTTATTTTCGTCTAAGTTGTTTGAGGTATCGCATTTAAATTAACACCACAGACAGTACATATCATTGCCATCTGCAGAATACGAAATAATATATTTATTGTTTTTTCACGTTAAGGAATAAATTAACTCATGGGAGAAGATTTCTAATAGTGTTCAAGTTCAGCACGTCATTAAAAGAAAACTTTCTTTTTTTTTCGCTTCACGTTCCTGGGACGTGTTTCTTTTAGCCTGTACACATTTTGCTAAAAGAAACTTGTTTCGAAGTTCTGAACCTCTGAATATGCAAGAATAGAACACTTCCGACGAATTCTTGATAGTTTTTTTTTCTCCTGCTTTTTATTTCCGCATTTATTCTTTTTTTTTTTTTTTTTTTTTGTTACTATCGGGACAGGTGTTTAGGTCGAAAAGACAGCTTTGAACTTCCGAGCCACTAAGCATGTGACGAGCAGTGCCTTCTGACAACGAGTTTCTAACAATGACCATCTACGCAACTTTTATGCAGTGAAGAGCGATAGTAGCTATACATATGCATAAATAATTTCAGATTAAAATAAGCTCGACCACGCCCTCATTCCCCGTATTGTTTTCTTTAACAGTTCGAAATACCTACAAGGGGGAGAAGGAGGCTGAAGCCCCCCCCCCCCCCCCCCCCCCCGCTACCCTCTTTCCCCCCGTTTTTCCTCTTCCGACGCCACTTGTATGGTAGAACGCTCCTCGACCTCGAGTTGTGTCGGCTTTTGTGCTTTTTGCGCGGCGATTCCTCCGTCCCAGAAAATAAACCTCCAGGACAATTGTAAATTTCACCGGATCGGATTACTACCAGCGTGCAAGGGGTGGCGAGGTAGTTTGCCAGGTCGCTTCAAGGTTTTTCTGAGCCTCAACCTCCTGCTCGCCCCTGGCCCTTTCGAACTGGATGAGTCTCGTAAAACAGTGTGTTCGTGTGATCACTACTGCGTGATGCAGGTTAAAGACCCCCCCCCCCCCCCCCGGGGGCTGGCGGTCACAATTTTGCACTGGCAAATATTCTAGCACGTCCGGGACACTCGTCGTCTCATTTAAATGCCTGACCAACTTCGCAGAATCTATATCTCACACCCTAACTTTTCTAAACTTGATTTCGTGAAAACCAGTGAGTCGTGAAAACGTTATTTGAAACTGAAACTGTGGAAAAACTTGAAAATCGGACTTCGAACATTGAAAACTTGGATTAGAAAGAAATTCAAAATCTTCAAAGTTTTTTTGTTTTTTTTTTAATTTAGCGTTAAAAGGGAATCGAAGCCTTCGAACTTTTCGAACTTTATGCAAAAAGAAATTCGAAATCTTCGAATTGTTCGAACTTCATATCTATAAAAATTCGAAGCGTTCGAAGTTTTCAATTTTTTTTTTTTTGCAAAGAATTTCGAGATCTTCGAATTTATCGAACCTGAAGTAAAAAAATATTCGAAATAATCGAATTCGAAATTTCGGAAACCGTGAAAGCTTCGAAATTTTCGAATTCGAAACTCCGCTGTGGTCAAAAGTTGCGAATTTTTGGAAATCGAACCTCGGTCGCTACGAAAATATCGAAATTTTTCGAAATCGAACCTCAATTCGCTTCGCAAATATCGAAACCTTTCGAAATCGAACCTAGGGTGGTTCGCGACATCCCTAGTTTCAATGTAGGTCAACTCGTTCGGTACTCACTCCACTTGGAGCCATAGAGGACAGGGCAGCCTCCGTGTTTCGTGAGCTTCTCTCCCTCCCCGCTTGTCTTCAGATTCCACCAGAATGCTGCGTCTCCCTGCGCAAAGAACAGTTCTGTTAGTCATTCACGCTTTGTCACCATGTGTCTTTTTTGTTTTTTTAAAAAGCATCGGCGCTGATGTTACCGGGCACACGTTAGAACGATGTGTCGCACATTTACGGCCCGTTCAAACACTCGCGTTTTTTTAGGATCGTGTGCCTTAAAAACTGTTAAAATTTCTTGGGACGAGTCAACACAGAAAGACCATTGTATGCTTGCGCCATCTTTGATGTTACATTGGAACTTCATTCCGCTAGAACAAAGATTTTTCTGTATATTCAAGATCAGATGTACATACTCTCTGTGAGAAATGGTCCTTCGTAACATTGTCAAATGTTTTTCAAGAATGAAAAATACCATGCACTAAAACAATTGAAAATATACAGGGGTACACGGCTACCCAATAGGTGGTGTCAGTGTACTTTCTCGTTGTAAGAAATTTTAAAAAGAGTTTAAGGCACACGGTCATAGAAAGTCGCAAGTCTGTAAACGAGTCTTTGTTGATAAACCAATAAACCAGTTCCCAAAAACAGGTGGCAAACGGTAGCAATGACAGTGAACTTCGTCGTGGTCATGCGTGTCATAAGTAGCAATATGTCATTATTTTATTTTAGTTGTATTTGACTCTAATATATTGTATTATGCAAACGTCTTTACCAAGTCCTTATAATTTTGGGTTACATCTTTGCACTAGAATGCCCTCAAGGCATTTGTACACATTTCATAAATATACACCGTATATTATATTCCTAATAATCCTTTGATTCGAAGGTAGCCGGTACCAAAGTAGAGAATTAAAATCTTTCCTTATTCAGAAGGCATTGAATGAAATTGACATCAGTTCGCGCAACTTCGGAGATGGAGTGCAATTATGGCTTTCCTTCCGGGCAGTTCGCCTTCTTAGCCTGGTAGACCAAAACGCAAGATTTGTTGTCATATAGATTTCCGTATCGTACGGAACTTGAAATTGTCAGGTCTTCATAAAAGGCTACGACGAACCCGCACAAAGCCTACTCTCGTGACAAGTGGAACGCAGTGTCTGGACAGGGAATAACATTTTATGTGATCGACAAGACAAAGTTAGGGTAGCTAATAACACGTACCCGCGAACAGCTGCCTCTAAGCGTCTATAAACACGAGACCAGATATCGTTTATCCAGTCTGAAGGCCGGTCCACAGATTTGCCACTGCTTACCACAGTGTGCCTTAAGACCCCTAAAAATCTCTTACGACGCAAGAACAAACCGGCGCCATCTGTCGAAAAGCCGTTGAACACTCTGTTCCGTATGTTTTCTATTTCTTTCGCTCGGAAAAAAGATGACAATACAATAAAAGACTTTTTCTCACAGTTAATTCGTACACTTTATCTCGCAAATGCGGCGAGACCTTCCTTCTAGTCAAATCCAGTTCCAGGGTCGCGTCGTTGATGGCGCCAGCGTACTTATGTATTCTCTCGTCGTAACAAGTCGTAATAGCTCGCTTAATGCAAATGGTAATGTGTAAACGGGCATCTAGAAATTAAAAAAAAAAAAAGTCATCTGGAGTTCCATGAGATTTTGTGGGGCAATACACGTTGGTGGCTTGTTGTGTGGTGAAAAGCCTATTGAACGAAGGTGACATTGGCCCTCTATTTCGATTAACGACAATGATGCCCCATGTATACTGCGAAATTTCCCGTATGCCTACTTCCTTGCAGACGATGCGAAGACGCATGGTCAAAGGGGATGGCTAACGATGTATGACGATCGACGATTTATTTATTAACAACAAAAGTACATGCTGCGATGGCGCACTGAGTATCAATATTTATGAGCGTAGGTAGCAAGCCATTTTTCAAGTGATCGGTTATTTTATTGTTTATCCAATATTTAAATGTATATATAAGAATGAATAAAGGTAAAAATAAAGTATTTTAAATATAAATATAATTAGAATTTATATATAAGTCAATTGAAAATGACTGAAGTATAAAAAGCATTTGCTTTCCAAATGTCGCATGAGCATATGATAACGGAGAAGCCCGGGATTGGTTTGGACTTATCACCTTTTTGGGTGTCAGCCTTACGCCGAGGCTCGGAAAGACTGTGGCCCCACCTTCTTCGACGTCACTCATCTGTAAGCATTCAATCCAAGGAATTGGGTGTCATCAAAAGTAATCAAAATTACACGTTTCAGCCCAATTCATGAAAGAACTTCCGCGATTATTTATACCAAATATCTTAGCTGCCTCGCACGAAACCGGCGACATCGAAGTAGGCAGCGTACCCATAACAACCGGCTTTATTTAATACCCTACAAGACCTGCCCATGAGGTCACAGCGAGTACATCACCCCTACACGCCCCAAGCGGAAAACACGCTAAAGCTCGACGAGAGTGGTACAAGACACCACCCGATTCAAAGGGTCCAGCCTCATCCATCCATCCATCCATCCAGTGATGACATTTGAGGAGGAAAGGTGCAGGACTTCCCTTCCAGGTGGTATCGTCTTATTGTGCTCACCTTTTGAGCGTTCTCAATGCGGAGAGCAAGTCGTCTGCTTCTTGCGCAGGGGTTGCGGTGACATCAGGACGACGCAGAGTTCTGATTGGCTTTGATTGGAAGGATAGTGGGAAGTCCTCAATGCTAAATGCCTTGAAGTCTACCCATTATTTGCTTTAGTAAGCCAGTAAGAGCTTGGCGTTCTGACATCATCGCAACCCCTGTGCTAGAAGCAGACGAAATTTCGCTCCGCTTAAGAAAACTTGTATATAGGAGTGGAAGTCTGATATTGCGGACAGGCCCTGATCAGCCTGAAGCGTCAATTTTTCGAAGGTACGAGAGCGCAATTTCGTTCGCTACTTGCGCAGGGGTTCCGGGGACATCGGAACACCGACCTCTGATTGGCTCCATCGGAAGGATAGGGAGTAGACCTCAATGCTTCCGATGGAGTCTACCCACTATACTCACAATCTGAGCCAATCAAAGAGCGGCGTCACCTCAAACCCCCCCGCCGCACAATAAGCAGACGAGCTTGCGCTCCGCATTGTCACTGACAGGTTAGCAAGCCCAGGGTGTGGCATATTATGTTCAAGTTTCTTGCTTCGTGGTTTGTTCTTCGGCGTTCGCATCGGCTAACGCCGGAATTTTATTTACTGTAGAGCGATAATTAGAGGCTGAAACTCGCCACGCCCCGCGTTCTCTAAGCTATCAGTTAGTCAGATCTGTTCTGCGTCTATTTTTGTTTTGTTTCTGTCGATGATTTATTCTTGTAGCTATATTGGCTGGCGTCAGGGAATATATCTTTTTCAAAAGACCGCGCCAACGCCTGTCCGCCATTGCTTGATCGCACACTCTGAGCACGTATTGGACACGAGTGCGACGTCAGCGTTCGGCGAGGACTCGGAACCAATCACGCGCTTCATGTCCTTGCGATGGCGACCGCGAATGTTACTCGATGGAACTTTGAAAAGTGTCTATTATGGAGTGCAACTGCAATGCTAAGCATTTAAAAGACTACTAAAATAAAAATAAATGTGCCAAACTCTCGACGGCCTTCAATTATGCTTTGTCTCTCTTTGTGAGAATGATTGCATTTTGAAATAATCCAACAGAAGACGTAACTTAACTCAAGATGTTGATCATTTTTTTTATTTTTTGACATTTTAAAACTTGTTTTTTTTATCTCTCTTTTTTTTGTTCTTAGCTAGAACTGAACACATGCTACGTATACAGAACAGGCGCCATTAAACGACACATAAAAGATACAAGTGCTGAATTCAAAAGTTCGGGAAATTAGAAATGCATTTTCTGAACAGTGACAAAATCCAAGAAAAGGAACACTTACATAAACCATGAGCGTTGCTATTCTGTCTCCAGATGTCTTTTCGAAATCATCCGTCTGAAAAAGTAGGAGTATGCTTGTCGTCGTTGTCAGAGTATGTATATTCCCGAAAAAAAAAAAAGCTCTTACTCATAGAGTTTATCTGGCACTGTGTGTCGTTGGCCATTATGATTGCATATTAGAATATTGATTATCACGACGAGTACAAAAGTCGCTTCAATCTTAGCGAATATCAAAACTAAAGGTAGAGAGAGCGGGTAAGTTTTTGTGCCGATTTCCTGGTCTTGTGCCCCAGGCTTATACCGCATATACGTCCATTGAAGGACGATTATTAGCAACCCACTGTATCTTCAGTAAATAAAAACCTAAAAAATTAACCAAACTGTTATATGGTTGTAACTTTGAACAGTTCCGGAGCAGAACCCTTTAATTGTTATTTAGCCGTTTTGTACTTACCCATGTCTTAACTAAAGAAAAAAAATATAGAAGGGAAGCGCCCAAACGCGCAAGTAAACAATTCTCATCATGCTGGTTTAGGCCAGTCGTACAAGGAATCATAAGGTAAGATATAAAAAAAATTGAGAATGGAGGAAGAAAATAAAAACATTGAAGATTTTTCAGATCGATGTTTTTTAATCATGTTTTTATGTGATCTGTACAAGTACACTGTGCGAGCGTGCGTTTTCTTTTAGGTTACAGGCCACAAAACCTTTTGCTTTGCTCCCTCATAAATGGCAGGACTGCCTGAAAGTGTTCGCATTTATGTACTTGGGAGCTTGAATGCACTACGCTTGCACATGGCAAGCTTGGTTTCGATAGACTTTTTTTTTAACGCTGAGCATTCATTTCGCATCTACAGGGTATCTTTAGATTACTCACCACTCTGTTTGGGATGTGATAGGTGTCTTGAAGGTAGTCGTGGTGCGACATGTACTGCCCTCCAATCCCGTAATTGGCCAGCTGCCGGTGTCACAAAGTAGGCTCAAATCAAAACATATAAGAGAACTCAGTCATATACAAATCGCATTTATATTTTTGTAAAAGTGTTCGCTGATTGCGGCATTCATTTGTCAAACAGCATGTGATTTTTTTTTTTTTATGAAGGACGAAATACGAAGACCATATGTGCGCTTCTCTTACAAGAACCACAGTTTGCGGTTCTTGTAACTGGTATGAACAACGTTCACCGTCCAATTTTAGGCACGTGTAGCAATTGAAACGGCGACTTGACGACTCACTTCACTGCGTCGCTGCTATATTTCTTAATATTCTGCGTGCACAAGCGCGAGACTCGTACATTGCCCCGCTTGTAAAAATAAGAAATGAGTCAGTGGGTGCTAACATGACCAAACACAACTACAAGAAAAGATTGTACGAAGTTGAACTTTTACCATATAAACACCTGTTCCTGCTTTTCTTTTTTTTTTCTTTTTTGCTGACAAGTAATTAATGGCAGAATATTTAAAGGAGTATCAGGCACCGCAGCGTGCTAGAAATTTCACGCTAAGGATATAGAGTTAGCAGTCCTGCCGCTCTAGCAACAATATACTGCCCTTATGCAGTGCACACAGTTGGCACTATTTAATATCCGGCCGATTTCATGCATGCAAAACAAAAACAAACAAAAAAAACACTAACTCGGAACTTTGGACTTCAAAATAGATAGGCTTTTTGTTAGGTACTGCTTTCTGATAAACGGTGACGACTTCTAAAATATTTTCAATTAACTTGTTACTTGTCGCGTGTGATCAGACGCGAAAAAAAAAATTAGTTTTTTTTTTTTTTTTTTTGTGCAGAAAAGGTAGCATGCGGCTTTAGTTCCAAATAGCGTATATATTTTTTGACATCGCTTTTCATCTGCATTCGTCGTTGCTGGTCCTCATCTTCCAATTTAGTTGTTCAGAAAAATATAACCTGAAAATTACTTAAAAAAACGTACGCAGGGGGTTCATTCTCGAGCGTGTTTATATACCTGTATCGCCAGCCTGCGTGTTTTCTTTCCATTTCATTAAAAGAGAGGTGATGTTGAGATAAAGTGCAGGCTATACAGAATCTATATACACTGTCCTGACTTCCCATAGATCACAGTGGACGCTACGAGCAATGCGGAAAGCAAGTTCGTCTGCTTCTTTTGCAGGGGTTGTGGTGACGTCAGCACGCCGAGCTCTGAATGGCCCTGATCAAAGGATAGTGGGTAGACCTCGAAGCAACATGCCTTGAGGTCTACCCGCAATCCTTCGATCAGAACGAATAAGAGCTCGGCATTCTGACGTCCCAACAACGCCTGCGCAACAAGCAGACTACATGCGCTCCGCATTCTAATGAATCCAGCGCTGTCGATGTATGACGTGATTAAGAGCCCCGTGCGTCGCTGCGCTCCTCCCTACTTGTGACGCCATCTCCCGGTAGGTACAGAGAGCAACCGACGCACTCTGTTGTCTACTCGCTGCAGCTATCGTGAAATGGCGCGACAAGTAAACAGCGTCTCTGCACGGGGAGGACATAACGTCAGCCACGAAGCTTCCTCAAGCCATCCTCTTCTGTTGCTCGCCTCTTTCGCGCCCTCCTCGCCAATTTCCCTTTCAAATATGAACCACACGTGACCACTGAATGGTAGATGGTTCCGTCTATGAACTAAGTTGTACAAGGTTCTAGCACGGTTCTGTTCCCAATCGTGGCAGCTTAATGCGCCTGTTGCATTTTATTTTGTCTTGTGACAATAAATTTTAAAAAAATAATGTTTTTTTTTTCCACGCCGTTACCATCATGCAAGTGGATACCAGCGTTCTAAAGATATGCGAAGTTTTGTTCAGCTTGAGGAACGTGTTCTGCTTCGATATAAATTGAAATGCTTCCGAATAATTGACCGCTATTATTTTGTGTGCGCCTAGTGTGAATGGATTTGTGGAGCGTTCACACAAATTTACAATACAGCTGGGGGTGTTCTTGCCATTCATCGTAATCAACACTGAAGCACGCACTTGAGTTTGATTTGGGTGTTTTATTAATATGTATCGTGACCACGTTGAACGTCCAACTCAATTTGACTTGTCAGGGGCACATATATCCCTGGCACTACTGTCGAAGTCATGAAATTCGAAGTGAACGACACTCCACTTCGATGAAGTCCATTCACTGTACAACAAAGGGACGAAATCCTTCCTTTGAGCAGCTTGTTGACTTTCGGAAATCTAAGAGAATCTCTTATAAGTTCACGTAACTACGAAGTTCAGGACGTAATCCAACAGGGGCGTTACGGTGAACGAAACTCGCCGCAGAAGTTTTCTACAGCCGCTCACACTGCAAAGCCCCATCTTATAGTCTCGGTAACGTCGCACGCTTTCGCTTACTCAAACAACTAAGCGGCTCGGCTCGTCCTCTCGTCGTGGTTCATCGTCCACCGGGCTCCACCCATCAGGGTCTCGCCGGTCTTGCCACAGCTGAGACGTCGCGCATAGCGTCTGCTCTTCGAGTTTTGTTTGGTAAAAACGTAAAACCTTCCAAACACACGACGAACCGCGACGAGCTGATCGCGGTCAGTCGTCTGCTCTTCGGGGTCTCGCCTACACGGCCTCGCCTAGGGAGCCTTCATGTGCGCTTTGCTAGGGTGATGCCACCCTTTGTAATACCACTCGCCGACAAACCAGCAGCCATTTTGTTCCTCGGCGATAATTCGTGGGGCTTATAACCCTCCCGGAAACAAGCACCTTATCTCAGAAGTTCGGAGCAGCGTTGTGGAACCCACGGAGGGAGGATTAGCATTTTCCCCTCGGATGGGATTACCGATAAACACAAAGGCCACTTTCCGGCGCACGGGGAAACAATGAGAGAAACAAAATGGCGGTGGAAGAGGGTGTGGGAAAGGGAAACAGGCAGTTGGCATCACTCTATGCGAAGCGCACATGAAGGCACTCTAGCCTCGCCCACCCCGACTTCGCTTCGCTAACGTAAGCCCTACCGGATGGAAACAAGCGCAATGCTACGACAACATGCCATACAACCAAACACCCAACTCGATTGTGACAGGATCACGTGCACCCCACGTGGGTGCAACTATCGTTTAAAGTTATGGCTGGGTATCAAAAAAGTCACGTGATGCCCTCCCCGTGCGTCGCTAACTCGGTCGTCTGCGAACACTCCCAAGCTCGACTTCAACAAGATTTTTATTCTCATTTTTCTTTTTACGGAAAGGGAACTGCGTTTTGAAATTTCACACCGTAAAACAGATTAATAATACGATTAAATGCAAAGTTGTAATCGAGCTGAACAAGAATGACGAAAACAATCCCTGGAGAAGGGGAACGAGGCGGACAAAGGGCAAACAAAAATTTCCAAACTTTTCGTTTGTCCTTTGTCCCCTTTGTTCCCCTTCTTCAGGGATTATTTTCGTAAAACAGACCTGCTCAGTGCACACTCGGTGGAAGCTTGAGCTTTTGTGTGCAGGTGACGATTTTTCGGACTCGTTTTAGAGCGGAAAGTCCGCTTAAACACGCTATATATTGAAATGCTAAAGCTACGTACCAAACTACAAAATAAAAATAACGATCACTAACTTGGTACTGCTCCGCTTCGCCACCCAAGTACGTGGTACCAAGACCTAAGAGAGAACGTAGAAACCGGTTCAGTCTGGTTGCGACTGGTGCATCCATGTCGTTCAACCAGGCACTGGGGAGAAAGGAAAGATTAACGTTTTGAAAACACTGAACGTTGAACTGTCGCGGCTTTGGCTTATAAACTGGCATACATAATGACATGACCGTATTAATAGTAATTTCAGTGACTAACGGACATATTAGCTCCATAAACTTTTACTTTTTTTTCAAACGCAAGTTTTGAGGAGATAAATGATCACATTTAATGACACAGAAGGTATTTCATTGCATTTCTTTTTCAAAGTTATGTTATTTATTCGGAAAACATTAACACACTCTCAATTTTTCATCGTTGAAACCTAGATCCTCTTTTAATATTTCTTTTTTTTTAGTTAGATTTTCTAAAAATGCGACAGTTACTACGGAAATTTGCTTTTACTTTACTGTGTCACTATAATGCAGTGTTATATTTTAGAATTTCCTGATCACTGCGTTAACGGGTTGGAAAGATAGTTGCTAATCCTCGTCAAAGTGATCTTCTACATTGATTGTTTGGTAGCCTATATTAAGTCATGTGACTAACGTTGCTTTAGAAAAACTGCCTCTAAGACGTCTGAATCGAAAGGTAGGAGTGTTCTATAAACGGCTGGCGTTGCGATCTATTGATTTCACTTAATTTTCACAAAAGTGCGAGGCGTCAGGTAAGATTATTTTCCATGTAGTAAATTTACTTCTACGAAGAATACTAACAATTCAATATACAACATGACATCAACGGGCAAAAGATTTTTTTTTTACTTTTGTACATAATTAAAGCAGTTAAATATGAAGGAAGAGATGTTCTTTGCCTCGCACGTTACTTCGGCGTTGCATTAAACGAATTCATAATTTATCAATAAAACACGACATCAACGGGAAAAAGTGTTCTGCTTTTGGTACCCATTTCATATAGCTAACATTGAACGAAGAGATGTTCCTTGCCTCTCTCGTTACTTCGGCGTAGCTTTCCAATACGTTACATATGTGCCAATGTCCACCTCCCGTTGATTTTCTGCTTTTGATATTAACCTGACATTTCCAAAATGTTTGATCAGGCTACTCTAAACTAGACTCGTTTTCATCTCAAGGGAAAAAAATGCAGTTTTGCGCGTTGTTCATACACCGCGTGAAGTAGTTCTAACAAGATTTAGTTGTCGGAGGAAGAAGCGGTGCTTTTGGTGTTTGGAACGTGTAAGTCTTGGTAAGCCAACATATATCTAACCTTAAAATGCACCTGCGCTCATCTTAATTCTCTGTATAAAGGGGGGAATTTTTAATGCTCCGCGAGGGGCCTGACCTTTTTTTACTACGGTTTTTGAGGCAGAAACGAATATAGTTGATATATAATAATGTAATTGTCGTTCAGAAAAAAATATCAACATCTGTCAACTTGGAACATGCAACCGTGTAATGCAGTTACCATTGACGGTTAATCAGAGTTACGATAGCGGTTTAGACACATTCAATTATCAATCATAATGCCTAGATCACAACGAAATAAATAAGTAGAACTAAAAATTAAGAATCATGACTCCTTACTTTGAGCTAGTACGAACTTGGGACGCCTCCATTCCACGCACTCCGTAGTGAGTGGACCGTTGCAACTGCCGTCGGAAAGTAAAAAACGGAGATAAGAACAAAAATAAAGACCTCGCTGTAAAGGTTTATGTCGGTTTGAGTAAATATTCATCGCTACTGAACGTATAACCTTGTCCCCGCCGCCTTAAAACGATTGCAGCTAATACACGACGGGACTGTTGAAGTGAATCATCACCAATTCCACTAACTGCACTGCTAACTAATACTTTAGAGCAAATACTCAAAATATGCTAACTTCAGCATTAACTTGTATCCCAACATTTAGAGCCTAAAAAGAAGGGAACTATACATCTCTGGAAGTAAAATGGAGCTTGGTTCTTTCTTACCCGTGGCTTAGCGAAGGCCATCAGATCCTCAATGTCTCTGTCCTGAATGACGTTATGCATCACGACGATATAAGGCTTGAGGTTGGCTTCTTCGACCTTGATTGGCTGTAGTTTAAAGAAGCCATGCTGCCCCTTGTAGTAGCGACACCTCAGCTTACTGTCCATCTTTGGCGTCTGTTGATAGGAGACAAATCACATTTGTAAAAACTGAGGAAGAACGCCTGCAACGCCCGCTCACTGGGCTCACTGGGAAGACCTGGTCTATGGCGTGTTTCGAGCGCCAGGCATGTGAAGGTCGAGGTCACTTCAGGAATGTTAAGAATGTTCATGTATAGCACGTTTCAATATCGCTTGCCAATATGTCTTACAGCGAAGCTGTATATGACTCGTTGCAATGGTTGGGTTCTTTCGCGTCCTTCGACAGAGAACCATCGCGCTCGTCTTATCACTGTTCGCGCGCGCCTTACCTCTTCTCATCTGGTTTTGACACTTAACAATAAGAATCCACAAAACATCTGTCAAAACTACGTGATAGATGATAATCACGTAGCTCTCCCCGCATGCGTTTTATCGGTAAAGATTGCTATAGCATAAGCTGTCCCGGCAAAGGCATAGTACGAAGTGTGGAGTGACGTCACTAGACTCGCTAACAATGCGAAGCACGTGGCGCTCCCCGCATGCGTTACTCGGTAAGGATTGCGGTTGCATAAGCTGCCACGGCAGCGGCAGCGTGCGAAGTCTATTCTATATAAAATCTTTCAGCCTTTCCACTTTGGTGAAGAAGGAAGACCAGCGGAGCTGTACAATAGAAAGTAATGGCCGGCCGCAAGTCGGCAAGCCAGAGTGGAAAGGCTGCCGCCATTTATGAGCGAGGCGGCGACCAGATACGTAGCTTGCCGCCGTCGCCCATAGATGGCGGTAGGTGTCCAGAGTTCGGTGTCTTCATCTCTTTGCGGGGGACACGATCCTGGGGAAACTAGCCCTTAACAGCTCCGCTGTAAAAACGTTTTGGTATAGTACATTTACTTTTCTTTCTTCAATAGTTTCGTATAGACCCTTTTGCTGTTTACAAACATTAACTGTCGCTTGCGTCCCAAACGACTTCCGGTCGCACCGTCTTTGCAAGCCTGTTGAGCTTGCTTATGTCACCAGTGCTAGAAAGCATAAATGCTATGCGGACAACATAGTTGGAGATTTAACGAAGGCCTTTGGCAGTACAGTATTACATCTGAAAGGAGGCAAGTTGGTTTACAAGAATACTAAAAACGTTTTAACAGATCTCGCACTCCTTTGTTGTTGTTTTTTCGTGTTTTTTTTGTGTTTTTTTGCGTACACCTGAAGAATTGGTGGTTAAACATTTCATCTACATTTCAAGCAGCGGTGTTAAGGTGGCCTTTGTTCATTTTTTTTATAAACCGGAAGTTCTCTGGGACGTCAAGGATTAGAGCACCACCTGGTGGCGTTTGTTATAAAAAGGGTCCGTACTGCAGTGGGAAATCGCTGCAGGTGATACCACAGCTTCGCTGTCCATCCTTCTTGACAGCATTGTTTGGAGCCTTAATTTTTTTTTCTCTTAATTTCAAGTTCTACACTACCATTCGCTGGTCTTATCCACGTACGTAAGAGCGATTTGCTGAATATGCTTATTCTCGTTATATTCAAAGGTCAATGTCGTTTGTGTTTATGTCAATTGTAACCGTTTCCTTACTTTTTAAGACACCTCATATTCACTAACTTCTGTCACTTCAGTTTATATCTTCTTCTGAAGCAGTCTATGACTCTCTGTCTTAAAGACTGTGTTCAAAAGGTTTGTGTTTTAGTCCCTTGTTTGGAGGTTGAAACTTTAAAATGGCTGATTATTGTAATTTGCTGGCGTTCACGTTCTTACTCGTTACATTCTTAACAAAAATCTCCTCTTCATAAATGAAATTCCTACAAAAATAAGAAAATAACGAGGCAATGTTAGAAAACGGTCTGTTGAAACAAAATGTTTTATCACTCCCAAAAAGTTTCTACGTTGTCTACTTTCAAATCAACAACGGCACAAACGGCATGCTCAGTTAACACTTCGGAGGATAAACGCACCAAAATTGCAGCTAACAAACAGCTTACGGCGGGGCTTCGTGCATGCAAGCAAAACAAAAGCGGATAGTATTGCGTTTTGCGTTCAAAAATATATTTGTCGCTATGTGTTAGACAGCCCACGCGTGCGGTGTATTCTTCAGACCAATATGTTCGCAATCTGTTTCGAACATGTTTGTTAGAAAAACGAAATGTCGTGTGAGTGGAAGACATGTACCCTTAGCTGTTCTCCTCGGCAAAGTCGCTTGTAGTTCTGTGTCTCCAGATCCAGCGGCAGGTCCTCATTGAAGAGCTGTGCCTTGAACTCCATGGACCGCTTTGTTCGGTCTCGTACAGGTACTCCGTATGTTTGCCAGTTTCTGCCTGCCCACGTGGAAAGAAGCAGAATCGAATCAAAATTACCTTAGTATATCTCAGAACAAATAATCTGAAGGCCCTCCTGTAAATACGTTATTTCACTCGCAGATGGACAGACTCGAGGTAATGTAGGATGAGACAGAAGTACGAAGACAATTATTGGACTCCTGAAATTGAAAATTGCCCGCATTCACCACCTAATAGTGACCTATTAGCTTCCTTTCCGATTAATTTTGCGTGAGCGTCGTACTTGAGTAAGCGATGGAGCTTAAGAAATGGTAAAAAGAAGCCCAGGTAGCACGCCAGAAACAGGCCTAATTATATAACTTGGACGAAGCTTGTCAGTCCTGTGTGCCTAACTTGAATCTAATACGGATTTACTCCAATGTATTAGTTAATGGCAGTGTACTTTTACTTTTGCGGTTTTATGGATTTTCTGTTTAAATTGCCAAACAAGTGCTACATTTTTCTGCTGGTTCTTTGGTTTATGCTCAGCGTCCTTTTCACAAGTCTCGCACTTTGGGGCAATTATGTAACGAGCATTCGTTACATAATTGCCCCAAAGTGCGAGACTGGTGAAAAGGACGCTGAGCATAAACCAAAGAACCAGCAGAAAAATCTAGCACTTGTTTGGCAATTTAGGCTCAAAGTTGCCACATTCGAGCCGAAGAACCAGAAGGGGAAGCCTAACCCCGGCACTTGTTCGGTGATTTAGGCTCCAAATGTTGACAGCCAAACTACCAGCAGTAAAGCCGAACTTTGGCACATGTTTAGCGAATTATGGCCAAGGCACCCCGATTCTGGCCAAAGAAAGTCAATTTCAGCTCTACCTTGGCTTCTTGGGGGTTTCTAAGACCTTGAATTTTCGAACCAAACTCAAATTTCGGTCCAAAACACCGTGGTAGCTGGGAGATCGTAGTAGCTGCCAAGAAAGTCAGCTCACTTGTCACTCATAGTGAGAGGTGTTTAGAGTCTGCATTTAGAAAGTCGAGCAGAACAAACACTTATTGTCGAATAGTATTTAAACCATGGCTATAACAGAAAACCTGAGGTAGCACGGAATGAAACGCGAACAGTGGGTGCATGGTTTTCGCTAGATGCTGCACCACTTGAACCAGATAGGAGCTGCAAGAAGATGGCTCTTCCTTCGATGTGTTAGACTCTTGCTCAGTGCATCCAAACCTTCGGTGTTGCGTCTCTAGGTGACCCAGCGTGGGTCGAAAACCATGTGCTCCATGTTCGCGTTTCATTCCGTGCCGACTGTACGTGCGTAATGAATGGAATGTATTCTAACAACTGGCGGTGTCCTGTTCGAGACACCGCAAAACATTAACAGAGATCGCTCATTAAAGTCGTTTTCCTGGCTGCTTAAGACGGGACGCTACTGCAGTCCTGATAAAATAATCAGTTGATTTGGTTTCACTTTAAAAAAATGTCCATAAGCAAAATTGTTATGATTAAGTAGCAACCTAATCCAGGGTAAAGTATGCAATGTTAGGAGGTGGAATTTATTTTCTGCTGTGTACTATGGGCCACACTCAATACCTGTGCCTGAAGTATAAAAACTCTATTTGATTATGTAAGTGCCTCTAAATTGTCACGAACTATGGACATCAGACTGTAATGACATACCCACGAATCTATCGAAACACTTCAACCCCAGAACTAACAAATAAAGCATACAGAGTCCTAGGCTCAAAGTCACGCACGCATCAAGATACTCGTCAACCACTAAACACAAACAAGCACTCTAGATATAAAGAAGAAGAAGAAAATAAATGGCGCTATGGAAAATTCAGCACCCTTCAAATGGCGCCGGCTACTCCAACGCTAGATATGAATAATGAGTCACCGCGTCATCAGCGATACAGAGGCCAGAAAGAATTGCGTAAACAAAAACAACAAAGTAGCTCACCTGTTTCTCCCATGGTTCTGAGCACCTCGTCATGCTGTGAAAAAAAAAAAGAACAGGACGAAACAGCAAGAAGTTTGTTTTAAGTGCGACAAGTCCACCATTTTAAACTCCGCCCTGTGGTGCCTTAAACGACTTATGCTTAAGCTTCATAGCTGCATAGTTAATGCTGTTTCAGACGGTGGGCGTCAAGGCATTTTCTCGTGAAGAATATTTGCACTGTCACAACAAAGTTGGCCTTGCGTATGCGACGCCACGATGTCCGCAAAGTTATTGCGCGGGAGGGAGGACTCTGGTGAAACTTTGGTTTTGACACACTGTGAAGTTTCTAGTAACACTAAACAACAACAAAAAAAATCAGAACGCGACAGTGAATTTAATTTTTACTTCAGCACAATCAATAACATTTCCTTCAAATTTCTTAAATTCGTTACTTCTTTTTTGTTATGAATATCAACCTATCGTCGAGCTTTTTTACCACAGGTAAAAAAGGTCAGCCGATATCAACTCGAGTGATGTCTCTAATGAAAGATTCAATAATGAAGGTGGTAAAGCTCTGCTTCATGCTCGATCGACAGAAGCTGATTCACGTTTAAACCTTCAAAACCTGGTAATTAATTAATTTTCTGATTTTCTTCAGTATTCGGTTTTCCTTTTGTCTTCTCAATATTTTCACAATTTTACGACCTCGGTTTTCTCCTTCGCCAATCTTTGCTGAATTCTTATTTATTTGTAACATATGCTACCAAAGCAAACTTTTTATGTATATATTTTTTTCACTTGTAAAGAAACTAATATATCTGGGAATAGCTCACCGTTCTGCCAAAATATTCAGTTTTAGCAAGACTTCTACTCAGATCTTATTTGCATCGTAACGCTCAGGAGCATGTGGTTCAATCTAGCTGAGCACACAGCATTTTGTGGGTGATATTTTTACTCCTTTCTCATCGTGACATTTTACAGGAAAACGAATAGAGTTTCTTCCAACCGAAAGGAATAGTTTACGTAACGCTGAATGATCTATCTCCGTCCAAATGCTGCGCTAGTGCTCTGAACCAGATGCCAAAGTTCAGCTCGAAGTTATCTGATCCAAACGCTATAAGCGATTTTCTAAAACTTTCAATAATAAAGAGTGGCCGGCCAAGCCCACAAATACATAGAGATGAATGGCATCAGCTGATCATTCCCATTTTCTCATTGAAAGTTTCACAAATTCACCTAATTATTGATAACGGCTGGCTCTGAAACTTTGGGATTCGCTCCAAACAACTAGTGTTATTTTTGGGCGACTGAGCGTTGGACAATTCGTAGTTTATTTCCGCGGTGAGAAATAGCACTCATATTTGGAGGGGGCACGCTGTGCAAAGGGTTTATTAGATCCTTTACCTCGTAATCCACAACATGAAAAGTATGTTAATCTATTCACCTTTTTGATGACGGACTCGTGAAAAGGGTCTAGTTCCTGTCTGGTGATGGTAGGGGGTTCCTCGCCGGCGGCCTTGCTTATCGCTTGCTCGGACCATTCCACGGCACGGTCATAAAAGCCCTGGTGCATAGCCACCTGGCTAATGTAGAAGCAGTCACGAGCTGTAAACGACGAACAAAAGAGAGCTGACAAATTACATTTTAACGCAACCGCCTTACCTCAAGGAAATGACACGTGATTCTTCCTATCAGTACGCGAGTCTGTAGGGTCACGTGTGGTTCTTCTTATATTTAAAATAAAATTAAAGAACACATCTTATTGCTCATATTTCTTTCCTTTGAGAGGTTAAATACTTTCTTAACATAAAATATTTTCGTTATCTTTCATTTCGCGGCTTGTCTGGTAATTGATACTTATCCGCGTTTGGGTACGCAGATCAAACGTGCCTGATGCAAGCAGCGCCTTCGTTGCCTGTACAGTCAAGAGAGCTAGTCCGCGCTTCCTTTTTTTTTCTGCTCCTTTTTTGTCTTCCCATATTCTCCCTCTTTACCACTTATTTTTCAGCATCCCCCCTCCAAAAAAAAAATAAATAAAGAAAAGCACCTTCTTTAAACACCACCATTCCATAGCAAGCGCTCAGCAAGGTTTGGGTCGAACTCCCGTTAACTGTTGACTGTCTTAATGACTGTCCAAACAGGAACCGTTTTCTGCAATTTGCAGTGTTTGCTTTACCGGAAAATGAGCTCTTGTACTAGTTCTGATCTGCCTCAAGACATTTTTTTTCCTTTTTTGCCAGAGGGAAATTTTTTTTGCGCTTCTGTACTTGTTCAGAGCCTTGGAGCAAGCTCATGACGTAGGGCAGGACGTAGCCACTCATACATACTGCTGGCTATCGTCATCGCCTTCGCTGTTATTGTCAGTCCCCAACCTCCCGAAAACAAAACGGAGGAGATGACAGTGAAAAGGTGAAAAGGAAAACCATGCTGATTTGCCTGGTTGATGTCCTCATTGAAAAAGTACTCTCGCCCTGCAACGTCCACGTTTTCTTATAAGCGTCACCGCTTTTGTTTTTGTTTTTTAGCGTGCACGACATTTGCTATGTTCTGTGTGAACAGCCCTTTAGATTCCCAAGCAACTTGCGCCAGGAGCTATACTAAATCGTTTAGGATCGATTTTCTAAAACCACATATAGTAGTGCTTGATTAAGGACGAGTGTCGCATACCGCTCAGCGGGAGGCGTCCAGGAACTGTTTGGTTTCGTGGAATCTCGGTGCGGAGGTGTCCCTTGGTCAGTTCATTGAGGTTCAAAGAGTACGTGTCCTGAAGTCTGATAAGTGATGCTGCAAGCCCGTTGAAGTCCTCGTCCCAAGGAAGCAGCCGTTGTCTGCGCATTTCCGTGATGTTCACCAATGGATCTGCAAAAGATCATGCATATAGTATGGGTATAACGATCCTGCTAAATTTCCAAGGTTCCCTTGGTAGTTTTTTATGTCTCATAGCAACAAATTCGTCAGCTCCTTAATGACAATTTATAAATTTCTATTGCAAGGAGACTAGTATCCATTATAAATTAAAAGGTAGTTCATAATTCTGGCCTGGGTGATTTCGAGTTGGATTCTTTAAAGGCATTATTTGGATACATGTAGTCCTCTTACCGCTTTTGGTGTGGTAAAACACGTAATGTGTTGTAAAACACCAAACGTTTCAGTGAACGTGCGTGAAACAGATGACTCCTGAATTCACATAAGTTTCGTATTTTAATAATGTTACTGGAGCATAGAAAAGGAATCTTTCTTCCAGCAGGCTGTCTCTGGCTTGCAGTATCGGGCTCAGTTGCATGCGGAATAACTTGATAAGATCACAAGACAGAGATGTTTTAAAATGTTATTTATTTTTTGCTTTGAAGATAGTGGCGGCCAACTTTTTAAGGTCAAGACTTGATGTGGGTAGAACAATAAAAAAGTCAGCAAAGCAAACAAACACACATAAACATTCGTAAAACGAGTAAGAAGTTTATTCCTTGGAGTTCTATTTAATAGAAAAACAAAGTTCATCAATTGCACTAGAAAGAGTAAAAGAGACAATACTATTCACGCTGGGGGGAACTCGTTCCACTCGTAAACGGAACGTGAAAAATAAATATTTTAAAACAACTTTCTATCAACGAAACTGACGAACCCGTTTCTCGTGCTTCTGTTTTGTGTAATGGCTCACGTTAAACTGAAGATAGACATCAAGCCGTAAACAAGTTTTGTAATATATTATCCTATGTACAAAACTTTAGTCGTTTTACTTTCCTTAGACATAACAACTCAGGCAGTCCAGACGCAGCATACAACGGTGGAACATGTGACTCTTTTCCATAAGAATTATAAATAAACCTAAGTGATATTTAGAGCCTCGTCCACTGTTCTATATGCGATTTTAAATAGGGGTCCCATAAGATGTCAGCATATTCAGTAGACGACGGATTGGAGATTTATACGGCATTAGCGTCGTTTTACGGGTGCAATGTATCATAGTCCTTCGCAGCGTCCACAGCTTTCTAGACTCTTAAGCAATAACCTGCCCAATGTGAAAAGTCGAGCTTAAGCTAGAAGTAATTTGAACACCTAGTGACAAGTACTCATCGACTACAGATAAAAAATTGGAGTTGATAGTGTAAGGAAAAAGGAGCAGTCCCTTCCTCAGCCGTATTGTCATTTACACGCACTTAGTGCAATTGCCACTTTTGTCACCACGACCAGAACCTATGAAGGCTACCATCTAAATATGTTTGATAAGAAACGCAATTTATTTTGAAAAACAATTTATGGTCATCGGCGAAAAACTGACACTACATGGTGGGTTTATCTCCAATCATATCATTAATAAGAAAGCAATTTTCCGCGCACCGAGCCCTGGGGCTACGCCTGGTTGAACGGTTACTTCAACGAAAATAATCCCTGGAGGAGTCGGAACAAGGAGGACAAAGAACAAATACAAAATCTCAGAACATGCTGCTGTACCAGGCTTATCGTTGTTATTGTCCAGCTCGCTTGTCCCTCTCCATTAATTGCATGATCATCATAATTCAATGGAATATTTTTGTCCGCGAACGCGAACTCTAAGGTAAGAGTTTAATCATTTTAGGTTAAAGGGGTAGGGGTGAGAGTTTAACCATTTTAGAAAGTGGTCAGTATGTAGTACCAGCCTCAGGTAATGTAATAGCTTGCGATGCGAAACCCTGTCGAACGCCTTTGCAAAATCTACAAAAACAGCATTGATTTGACCATCATGTAAGGCTCTAGAGGCCTCGTCAAGTCAAACAATTTCGACTTTTTGCTTTTGCAGCCTATATCACTATCTGATAATGTAAATAAAAGTGATTGATTGATTGATTCATGAATTGATTTGTTTGTTGATCGATTGATTGATTGATTGTCAATTACTGTAGCAAAATTAAGGACCATGTGGAGAAGTTGTGTCATCGAGCACCCTCTGCTAAACCTTTGTTGTTCATACTTAGAAACGCTGTAGATTTGAGAAAAGTTATGATGTGCTTTAAAATGAAACACGTAAAATGTCAGGTCAATCTGCAGATTTATGGAAGAACCTGCATCGGTTTTCTTTCGTCTGCCTTCATGCTAGTAGCAGGGTACAACAGCATAGAACTATAAATTGGCCCTGAAATAGAGTTTACAAAGCTTTGCGTGGCACCTACCTAAAAACACCTGGTTTATATATTCGATGTGAAACCTTCGGCATTCGTTTAAATATTGTGGTAACTACTGTGCCTCCAAGCCGAGAGGTCTCTGTGGGGTGTGTTCGTTGTTCACCATAGCTGCACTCTGCTCTTCTGCTCTTGGGCATCTGCATGATGGTCAGCACCCACTATATTTATTTCCCACCCTACATCTTGCTCTTGACAATGGATACACCACTTTACTTTTTAATCGCAAGTGAAAAATTTCTATACATCCCAGCACATTAAGGCGAGGTGTACATGCGTTGCACAAATTTTAAGTTGGTGCCGAGTGAACATCCTCTTGGCGAATAGATCAGTGTTGTTTGCCCAGTCACGGGTGACAACTCTAAAGGTTGAGCATTTTGGTAAACTCGGGACGGCGGAAAAAGAGGCAAGGACGGAAACACAACTGACAAGGACAAGTTTGTGCGTGAAATGTCCGTGTCATTTATGTTTCCATCCTTGTCTTTTGTTTCTCCAGTCTCGGATTTAGCAAAATGCTCCATGTTCTCCAGCTAGCCTGCACCCTAACCGTTGTCCTAAAGGTTACTTGGTGGGCGTGTTTGTAACCTGCGTTCAGCGGCCGCTTGACAACCCTGACCACAAATGAACAATAACAGAAAATGACGACTGTAAATTAATTCGGCTTTTGTTCACGCAGTACCCTCGTGTACTTCATTGAAGAATGAAATAAACTCACCATACTGTCGCATGGTATGGATGTGCGATTCGATGGTCCCTAGGCCGACGGTCATTCTCTTGGTCATATGGAAGGCATGCACTGGGTGCTTCAGGTAGTCAAAAACAGCGGACGGTGACGTCATATCTTCGTAAGGCTGCCTTTCGTGGACGAAACTGCCAAACATAAAGCCCACGATGGAGCATGCTTTAAAAGTGCGAAGTTAAACATTGAACATAAAAGACACTCTAAAACCCGAAGATTGTAGGGAATGCTGTCAGTTGTAGATTGCAATAACGGAGATCCTACTTGTACCATCTTATATGGTACCATGCTTCCATCCTCCTGTATCTCAATTCAAAGTGTCATTGATATATAAAACACTCTATGAAGTGTGCAACCTAGTACAATTGTTTCCTACCTAAATATATACAATTCTCCCCTCCCCCTTCTTTCTCCTTTGGATGCTGCTTGCGAAAGCATGAGCATTATGTAGCATGTGACCAGATTATCACTGAAAAAGGTAAGACTTACTTGAGGATGCTGTCGTGAACAAACTTCAGATGTTCGACGTATTCGAGGAGGTTGGCCTTAACCTCTTTTTCCAGGTGGATCAGATCAGAGAGAGTGGACACTGAAGAGTAGAAGTCCCTCTGCCTCTGGCCGCTCGAATGCGTCGCTAGACAGCATAGCAGCACAACCAGGCTGAAGCAGCGCCTGACGGTACGGGGAAGGTGAGCGTGGCGTTATAGCCTTAATAAGGAGAAGGTTTAGTAAGTTATAAACTTAAAAATTAATATCACTGAAGAACTAGACGTTTTTAGTATTATGAAATCATACTAATAAAAAACCATTCGTGAGCAGTGAATCAGAAAATATGAACATTAATATGAAACTGCCTATCGCACAACTATTTTTCCGCAGAGAAGAGAGACACAATACATGCGACCTGCGGAGCACCGAACAAATTATACTGTTTTTTTTCCCGCAGTCACTGATATTAAATGTGAGGGAAAAAAATGTGCATACGTCTTGTGTATATGGGCACTTTCATCGCCGTTTTTATTATAACTATGATTTCCTCTTGGTAGAATTATGTGCCGGCCTTTGCTGAACAAAAAATGTACTAATGCGCGATTTTTTTTTTTTTAACAGCTTGGGTAATGGGGCATTTGATTGTGACATAGTTATGAGCAGTGTGAATTCTCGTATCACTTTCTGCGTTCATTTCACATGTTCATTTCACGGACGGAATTAACATCTTTACGTTCATTCTATCTGTGAGCAGGCACGTTGCCAGGGGGGTGGCCCATAGGGCCCGCCCCCCCCCCCCCCCCCGAAACCTTCCATTTTGCTAGGGACTCCTCTCCCCCCCTCCCCCTCATACAACATTTTGTCATAAGCGGCCCCCCCCCCCCCCCCCCCCCCCCGAAAGAAAATCCTGGCTACGTGCCTGCTGTGAGGTCTCGCCAATCTCACGTATGCAGACTCAATTTAATAGGAGCGCTTCGTCTAGCTTAGGCGTCTTCAGTTATCGTGAATTTTTCCGCGACAGGCTGGTATATGTAATACCAAGTATGTAATGTATATTATACGAGCCATGTCTATCTTTCTTTTTCCCTTGTTAACTTGCACTTTTATGCGATCTTTGCTTGATATAATTCCTATTTTAATTTGTGAATTAGAAGTCAATTTTAGGCACATAATTAAAAAACTATTATTTGTATTATTATTCAGGTGGACAACCTGCACCAAGATAGGGGGTGAGTATAAGTTGATGACTCCAAACGTCTCTTGCATAACGCGGCATTTTAAAAAGTCATTTTGTTTTTAGGAACGTCTTGTTCTGAGCATGCTCATGGTGAAAGAAAGTAAGAGAATGTTTTACTTGAAATTATCTGTATTTGAGTTAATACGGTAGCTACATACTATTGGCCTTTAACGGCACTGTCATACTGATGGAAACCTCAAAGCAGGGGAGATATGTATACTTCGTACGTGAAGATAAGAAAGAAGTTAGAGATCTGCCCATCTGTGATTATAAATTTTATGTCAGAAGACGTCGAAAGGAGGTTCATTGATATCACGAAAATATAAAATGAAAACTGCCTCTGAGTTTTTTTTTGTTTCTCTAACTGAAATGATTTCCTTTTAACCGAGCGGATGCTATTGTTGTCTGCAGAATAATTGGCGTAAAGCCGACATGTTGTAGGCTGCGCCTCTTTTCAGATATTTCACTATAATTGTGAACAAAAAATTATTATTTTAGTAAAAAAAAATAAGTATTGTCTATCACCTGGGCTTTTCATCTCTGATGACAAGGCTCACAAAGCTTTTGATCACATGTGCTAGATTATGCGGCAATAACAGCTGTGGAAGTGAGTGGCCCTTACACCACATTTAAGTAGCATAGGTGTTCGGTCATACACATCACCACTCGAGTAAACACAAACACCGAATAAAAAAAATGACCTGTCTACTCTATTCCCCATGGCTTCCAATGTCGATGACTAAAGGCCCGTTCACACTCTTGCGACCTCTTAAAACTGGGTTCCTTAAAACCTCTTACAACGAGAGGACACACTGGCGCCATCTATTGGGTAGCAGAGTAAACTTGTCGGTCCGGCATATTTTCTATTTTCCGCGCATTATCCTTTCTTTCTTGGCTCAAAAAACTTTTGTCGACGTTATAAATGAGCTTTTCTTATAAGTATTACGCACATTTGACCTCGGAAATCCCGCGAAACCTTCGCTCTTGTGAAATGCAGTTCCAGGGTCACCGCATAGATGGCGCCCGAATGCCAATGAGTTCCCTCGTCCCAAGAAATTTGAAGAAGTTTTAACAGATCGCGTCTCTCTCGGTCGTACTCGGTTGCAAGAGTGTGAACGGGCCTTAAGGTATAGCGGGCCCAAGTGTCATCTGCTGCGTAAAACAGCAAGGATACGTTGTTTTAAACGAACCATTTTATAATCAGTTCTCATGCGCAATGCTCATCTCTCTGGCTACTATACAATTTCTTTACGTTTTAGTGACGCGTCAGATAATCAGATACTACAGTAGGTGGGTAGGAGCGAATTTTGAAATCATTGTGATATTGTGGCAATAAATTGAATTGATCAACACTTAGATTCCCGCTCAACAATTAGTGCAGACCAAATAATGCAGGCATGATATTGAACAACAAGGGATTTACGAAAATGATTAAAAAATTAGCCATACTCAGCCTGCTATATCTTAAAACTTCTGTTGACCAGACTGTCTTAACAGCGCTCTTCGAACGCGGTTGCTGTCCCAAAAATCACTGTTGTGCAGGTTTGAACGTGTCACATCAGTTCAGTTTGTGACTGCGGTGTAAGAAACAATTGCCGTCCCACTTGTGACATGCAGAGAAAGAGGAGCAGCGCGCTGTAATTAACTTCTTTGGATCTGAGGGTGTGGCTGGTGCCGCGCAGTGTAAAACGTGTTTTGTCGCAAAGGAAGTGTGTCTAAGTGGGTACAAAACTTCAAGGAAGGACGCAAAAGTGTAAGTCTTGAAGAAGGCGTCGGACGACCATTCGCGTCCACGACTGGTGACAACAATGAGCGTACAGGTGAACTGACTCTTTCGGATGTATGAGTTACGATAGATAATAATGGAAAATCATTTTCAAATCAGCCAAGGATCTCCCAATGCAATGATCCACAACAAACCTGGATTTCGAAACATTTCTGTGAGATGGACACTGAAACATTTGTGCTGATATTTTTCTTTAATAACCCTCGTATTAACCTACCCACAACGTGGCTAGTGCAAAAAGTACAATTCTTTTTGAACATTTATTGGTAGCGAGGATTTTGTCATCGACATATCTACTTCAGAATTCTGCGTGACTGAGGAAAATACTCGTTAGATTTCATAAGGTATAAATGGCCACAGAAAGCTCGAGTTAATTGGGAATATTCAATTTACTGTGTTTATGTCATTCTGGGCGGGGCCTCTAGTAAAAAGATTAATTGCCTTAGTGACGATGCGGTACAAAAATAACTTTCTAACTTCTGATCTCCATGCAAGTCGAAGTTATTACTTAGAAAAAATATAATACTACTCTACGAAAGTTGAAACTTCTTAATAACTCGAGTAACGTAAGAAATGAAGCTAAAATTTATGAAATGCAAAAAATGCGCGGAACGTAATGAATTGCGACATAATTTCTTTAAACTAATCACTTTTAATCACGGATGTTATATATATTTTTCGTAAGTGAACTAAATGTTACAGTTAATAAAGAAATATTCAACGACAAATAATTCATTTCTCATCAATTTCTCTAAACATTTCGACTCCATTTCACTTTAAATTTTGCGGCTCACTCAACTCGAGCCGATATGCTAAAGAAGGTAACGCCACCTCCTGGCGCGTTCTTTCATTTCGCAGCGTGAGAGGGTCTGAGAAGGCCAGGAAGACTGACGCCATCTGGCAATGGCTTTTGAAACCGATCAAACTGGTTTAGTACAAATTCTAGAACTTCCCAACAGATGGGGCACTTGTTGCGGAGAACGCTTTCGCTACCCACGTGTATTAGAGAGCGTAGGACCATGCTACTGAATTTTCTGGATTATAGCCTGCTGACGGTACATGCTTATAAGTTTATGTTATACGTTGTGCGAGCTAACTAAATGTATTAACTATATAGTACAATAATGTCTTTTTCAGCATCGCTCGTTATCAATGCGATTCTCGCCCCGTGCGGTTGTGGAGATCACGGTGTTTGTTAGTCAGCAATAAAACTTGAGACACTCGGTGTGTCGCTACGCCCTTGATGCTTTCCTGGGTGACGCGCAAGGTAGCTGCACCCAGGGGAAGAATGCGGATCAAGCTTGATTTTGTATGGCACAAACATCTATCGGTCGCAATCGCCAAATCAAGATTACAAGATTATAGAAAGAAGATACATTTGAATTCCTATTGGTTTATTAGTCACCATGTAGTTACTTATCGGGGAACTAACGGCCTATCATAGTTAACAGGAGTAAGACATGGAAAATAAAAACACGTAATGTGGTCAGTGCTGAAAGTGCGGACTATCTAAAAAAAAAAAACTTTTTCAGCCCAAACTTTGCTTTGGTAGACTATACTGTATGTGGACTACAGACCGGCAAATATGGTCGTTATTCTTGCGATGCAAATTTGCGTTCGCCGTCAAAAACAAAAACAAAAAAAAATTGAATTAAGGTTTTGCTTATGCAAGTGGAGTTAAAATGTATGTTATGGACTTCTTGTAAGCTCGTTCCCTGAGTCAAAATATACTTTTAAAGTCAACGACAGGTACGTTTTCACACAATGTTTATTTCGCATCAACCCTATTCTTCATTAAACATAATAATAATAATAATAATAATAATAATTTTATTCGGCTTGTTCTTTCTTTAGCACGTACGAGGCGGGTCAGTCGAAGCCAGGGTCGGCTTGTGCGACTAGGCCCCGTGGTGATTAGTCGGATTGTTCTCAGGCGCGAATACAAGACAGTTATACACAATTTAAAGTTTCACGGGTTTCCACACAAATAAATGAGTACTTGGGCATATATACACAATTTAAAGTTGTTTCACGCGTTTCACACACAAATAAATGAGTATTTGGGCATATACACAACATCGAGTGCACCACAACGCATATAGACGTCCAAGACTAGATCTACGCGTAAATATACACTTAAATACGTATATCTACATAAACATCATGCGGGCATATAGGCTGATGGTCGAACAGTCACTCACATGGTAACAATACCTAGCCTCCTGTCGGTCCTAGAGAGATTCCAGTTGTGTATATTTCAATAGGCGGCTACTAGCACAATTCTTTTATGCGTTTTTTTAAGACACGCTGAGAGTCAATTTGATCAAGAAAATCTGGTGATTTGTTAAATATGCGAGGAACATAATACGACCGAACACATTTTCTATATTTAGTGTATACACGAGGAATTATAAAGTGTTCACTGTTTCTTATAGAGCGCTGGGCAGTTCGAGGTATTTTAAATTGACTGAGCCAATAATGTCTTACGATGACACATCTATGAAAAAGGGGTAGAAAACGCGGCAAGCCCACATAAGAGAATATATCATCGTCCTGGTTTAGATTCGGATTATATGCAACGTTTTCGCGATGTTCCTCAGAATGGCGTCAATTTTTGTTCTCCAGAGGGTTGAGCAATTGGCAAAGATAGTAATTCCATAGCGAAGAACTCCGTAGGCAAGGAGCATTCACGACTGTCTTTCTGACGGAGATTGGGAGGAACGTTTTTTGTATGGTATAACAGACAAGATACACCTCGTAGGCTTTTAGCCAGATAATCAAGGTGTGTGTTCCAGGAGAGATCGCTATCGAAAAAAAGTCCCAAGTATTTGACTGTATAGTGGTATGGAATGGGTGTACAGGTGCAAGATACACAAGATGAGGAATGTAATATAAAAGGGATGTCGATGCACCGTCATTTAAGTGGACTGCGGAAACAAATAAGCTTTGTTTTTTGTACATTCACTCTGATTTGATTGGCTTCAAACCAGTTCATGACTTTCGTAGAATTTATTTGTAGTGTGTTTATTGCACTGCGCAGGCTGACATGAGTGGATAACAGCAGTGTGTCATCTGCGTATTGAAAAACTGAGCATCTTGATGTTAATCTAGCGAGATCGTTGACGTAGATATTAAACAACAGGGAGGACAAATCAACGTAATAAACATGATCTTTGCTATTTGGGAAATGTACTAAGATTATTAAAACCTTGGGAGGAGTATCCATTGTTATGGCGGAAATTGAAACGTTGACTGGTTACGGAGTCGCGGTTTGCTGAATGACAGTATCAGAAGATTTTCAATTAAAAGTGCAAATAATGTTCGTAATCTGGCATTTCGGACCTCACTTCACTCTCACTATGAAAAGGGGGGAGGGGGGGGGGGGCAAGAGCGATCTCCAAAAGTGAACACTGATTTTGTGAAAGCGTCATGTGTTTCTGCTTTTACAAACCAAAAGTACTAGCTCTTGTCTTCTGGGGGAACTATATGAGAAAAAAACAAACAAAAAAAAAACATTTAAATTAAGTCTTATTTTATGCCTTTAAAATAATTCTCTATATCAACCCCAAACAATTTTTTTCTTTACGATAAAAACTCGATGTAATTGCTCTCATTCATATTGTCACTGTTTGAATATTTTCTTTATTGATTTAATTATAAGGTAAAAACACGTGTTCGGTTAATTCAGATAATTTATCAACATACTGATATCATGTGAAGCCAAAAAAAAAAATGCAGCCTAACAGAAATCTTTCGAGTGCATCGTTGTCAAGATTTGGACCTCACGGTTTGATAGGAACTTGCTTTCAGTAGCCTGGCGGCTACGATGAAATTTTCTAAGTATTTTGATTGCGGTGTTGATAAGCTTCCTTGTAACGAGCATTCTTAGATACCGACCGTTAGTGAGTAGTCTACTCAACCCAATACTGTACTTTTTTCTTTTTTTTTTGAAGGACACATATTGAGATAATATTTTATATCTTCATAGATTCGCTACATCAATTGGGGAAACTTTCTAAACTGCCGAGATTAAAAAAAAAACTAATCGGTATCTTCAAACAAAAAAAAAACCGCCCGCGAATTCACCTGCTTTTAGCAATCCATTACATTTTTTTAATGTCGCGTAGGCGAGAACAGTTACAAGAAAAACCGTTAGTGATACTCATGCTCCATCAAGCCAGTAAATTCGCCATCACAATATATATATATATATTTTTTTTTTTGTGATGGCGAAGTTATTGTTTTGATGGAGCATAAGGATTACCAACGGTTTTTCCTTCTAACCGTGCTCGCCTACGCGACATTAAAAACAAATAAAACAAAAACATGCATCACCAAATGAGAAAAAAGAACGTCCACCATGTAGGTTGGTGTGTAGGCGCGGCTGTGTGAATATTATATATATATATATATATATATATATATATATATATTGTGCCGCTGCGGACGCTTTAAAGCAAGAGCATGCAGCTAGCTATGTATGGCATTAAATAAAGACGTTTCCTCAACTCAACTCAACTCAACTCAACCTGACTCGGCTATATCGTTTTGTCGTTTTCCTTTTTTTTTTTAACCAAAGCATAAATTTGTGTCAAAACACTCAGCAGTTTGACACCAAACGCCAACACAGATGCCAGCCCGATGAAACGGAAATCATCAAAATACAAGCGATTTCTTGGTGATGGGCGCCTCAGCACCCTCTATATGTCAGTCGGCTAACTATTCAAAATGGTACCTTAGCACGGCTTCATCTGAATGTATAAATGGCGTGGCCGAAAACGCCTCATCTGTTAAGCACTTGCTCTAGTCAGTAAGAGTTTGGGAAACGTGGAGCTTGGCTAGTTCCGGCCATCTTGTGGTCGCTCCCCAGCCAATCAGATCGCAGCATTAGCCGGTAAGAATGGAGAATTACGAATCATGGAGCAAAAGGTGTGAACATATAATAAGCCATACACTGCGGTTCACAAGTTGTCAGTACTATAGAGGCGAGTACAGTGACTACTTATGCGGTGCGTTAAGTATGTTATTTGTCACATTAATAATAATTTTACGTACCAGAATATGGGAGTGAACTCGAAAAAATAATGTGAATGCGTGAGATTTTGTATCAAAATTTTAAAGTCAATTTTTGAACGTATGACTCTACGAAATAGCCATAGAATTAAGAAAATATAAACATACCAAGCTTGCGAGATTCACATTTGGGTTTCTTCTTTTAAGAATCTAACAAGCATAGTATTTGAATGTAGAATACTTCATACAAATGTTCAACGGAATGTAAGATGGTCCGTGAAGGTATTTAAAATATTGGAATCCTAACTTGCATAACTTTTTTATTCAATGCATTTTTAGGTGTGCGTGTGCTATTTGGGATCGAGACAGAAAATTAGTCCGAAAGGCGAGCACCATTAAACCGGGCTGCAATATAGTATATTTCATACAGTCAGGACAAATGGCTAATATAGTAGTACTTAAAAGTGGAAGATGCTCTAAATTGACAATTATAACAATCTTCCAAAAGGGGGTTAAGGCGTCCTTCACTTTAGCATTTTCATAAAATAGAATGTTGAGCTTTTTTAATAAAATCTCTCCCTCTGTATTGAATGAGAGGGCGCACTGCGACACGATCTCACGTAAAGAAACAAATATTGATATATTATAATATTTCATGAACGTTATTACAGGGCTTGCGCTAGGGTTCTTTTTATCTCTGACGCCACGTTAGTGGGGCCATTTCTATCATTAAATCAAAGCGAAGTGTGTTAACAAGTTAGCCATAGGCAACTAAAATATTTCGTTCAACTTTTTTACATTTTATTTTGGGAGGGATAGGAGAATCGACACTCGACGCCAATACTGTCTAGCCGTGTTGTGAAACCCTACTAAAAAAAAATTGATAACTGGGTGCTACGGGGCGAGAAATTGTGCACGGACTCAAACCAATACCGAGCGGGCAAAGAGCGCCGGTGACGTCGATTCTTCCGTCCACTTCCTGTTCCCTAAAGCGAAGCCGGCTCCGACGGCGTCAAGCCACGCGTCGGCATGAAAACAACGTTTTTTTACCGCTTAGTTTCGCTTCGAAGCCGTGTATTAGGGTGACATTTCTCGTTCCATAGTATCACTACACATTCTTAATCAAAATAATACGACACGGCTAGATTGCATTGAGGTCCAGCTTTCGTTCTCTAAAGGCGTTATGCCCACAAAAAATAAACATGAAGAAAAGATTAAGGATTTTTGTTAACTTGAAAACTAATTATTTTACTTCGTCTTCTTTTTATTGAAGAACCATGGCCACCAACTTAGCCCCGTGGGCTAAAAAAATTAAACACAAAGAAAAAACGAACGCGAGTTTTACATTAAAAACAATTCCAGACTGGCTAAAATAACACCCTGTGTATATGTCCATAAACACCGTCACGCCAGATATTGTGAAAGGCGGAAGCACTTCTGCAAATGCAACTTAGGTAAGTTCAAAAGTTTCTCGGAATTCCGGAGAGTGAAAATACGGGAAGTCCGGGGAGATTCGGTTGCGTGACGACAAGTCAATCGACAAATTCAGGCTTTCGCGTTTCACTCAATAACAATAAATTCACTAAAAAAAAGGAACACAGAGAACTAAAAAGAATAGTAACGCAAAAAAGAGCGTATTTTCGGTTGCTATAAAACTAAAATAAAAAGTAAACGAGCAAGTGCGCCGATCTTGAAGTGAAAAGTGAAAAGAAGATGACCCTTGAAGCACTGGAAAAGTAGGTTAAGAGAAATATGCGCCAGCGTTCGCTGGTATTTCCTTTCTTTTTTTTCTTGCATTTTTCCTCTTTCTTTGGTCTAAGAAGGCATGATGTGGAAGCTGAGGTTAGACCGCAATGGGGCACGAACATAAAAAAAAAATAAAAAGAAATATAGAACAGAAGCAACAGGTAAAAGGAAACAGCGAACCCCGAAATTCTTGAGGTACTTGAAAAAATAAATAAAATAAAATAAAATAAAATAAAATAAAATAAAATTACAAAAAAAAAACATTTTAGCGCGCGAAAGTAATGACAGAAAGATGGAAGTCGTACCGAAATAACGCCAACGTACCGAAACGCCAATTCTCACCTGTCGGGTCCGGCCCACATCGCTTTTTCCTCTCGATCGCCGCTCTTGTGAACACTTCGTCGGGTGCGTCGGATGTGTCTAAGGAACTCTGTTGCCTTCCGGATTAGCACCTGGATGAGATCTTCCCTCTGCCTTGTTTCAGGTAATCCCAGATTTGTCTTTACGTTCTTTGTAATCACTTGTGTCCGCTAGCTGAGCGGAAGTTAAGGCGATGTGCAGTTATATGGCCTCAAATGTTTTTATTGTTTTTTTCTCTCCTTTGGTTGAAACAGAATAGTAGATATATAAAATTGCGGTTTTCAAAAACACTACGCGTAGTCGCTTTTATGTTTATTTCTTCCCTTGTTCTTGTAGTTTGTGGACTGCAGTGCTTGGGAAGTTCTTCGTACCTATCCTACTTGATTTATTCGTGGTTCCGAAAGCGCCTTGCTTGAACTCACCTAACTGAAACACGGCAGTCTTTTGAGTACTGCAAGTATTCGCGAGTATCCTCTTGAAGCTCTAACTGCTAAAAAAAGAAAATTGTTCCGCGAAACTTTTTATGCAGCTTTGTCTATGATGTGGCTTATGTTCGCTCTTTACACGCGTCAATCCTGAACTCGTCGCAGGTTCAGTTTCTTGCTGCACTTAAGAGATAGCGTAGGAGCATCGATATAGAGAAGAGATTTGTTTTCCATGGAAGGGGGATTTGACTAAAACTCTTGTCGGATGATTCTCTTCTCCTTTCGCGTATGAAGAGGGATCTCGCTTCATTGATCTCTGGCTGCCATTTCGTGGGAGCTCTTGAAACTTCTAGTCTTTGTTGGATATGTTAGAACGGGAGAACTGGACACGCTTTGTAGGTATGAGTCTACTTCTGACTGGATGGTGTTCCTCTCGAGGGTGTATCAAGTTTTTCGAATTCTTGAAACCCTTGGAATAATCAAAATGGCTGCGTTATTGTAAATAAAGGCAGATCCAAGTTGAGATTGCTCACTTGCCCAAGCCGTGACTTGACCCGCACGCCCGCCTCCTGTCTTATGGTTCACGAAAAGAGATTAACAATATTGCATGTCACTCACACGGTGGTCGATCTCTGTTGTCTGTCACAGGTCTGGCAGTAGTTCGATGCGAATCGCCTTTAACACTCGGCAATTACGAAGGTGTGCGGAGTTGAATAACTTCTCGATATGTTGACCCGACGTACACCAATGTGGTCGCACGGTCGTTGTCTGCTTGGAGCATTCGAAGAGGGCAGACGCTCGTTGCGTACTCCAACTTTTAAACTAGGCTGACCTTGAAAGCTTCGATGTCCAAAGCGAATTCCGGGATATCCTGGTTCACCGAAGCGATTCGCACTGCCGGAGGACACCGATCACCTCCCCAAGCTGGTGACTCGTCCCACACTGACGCTGCGACTCGTACTGTTGCCTCTTCTTCTCCAACCCCTCGCCGCGCACTCCCTCGCCGCCTTGGGTGATGATTTAGGGGCTAGTTTAGCTCCCGGAGTTGTTAACGATGAAGTCGGGATGGAAGCGAGCTAGACAGCGTGCCGCTTCTCCAAGTACACAAACACACAGGCCGAGCAACGATCGGCGGCAACGAAGTCGCCAGTTGAACGTCTTCTGTCGTGCCTAGCATTCGCTCGCGTTTTTTTGGCTTTCACTGGTATCGGAGCAAGGTCAGCAAGAAGTTCGCTCGCCACGTCGGTTTTTAAATCTCCTACTGACCCCCCCGGCTGGAGAGTCGCCGCGCGGACCGTCTGCTTGCGACGCTTCCGTGAGCAGATCAGATGGTGTTTCGCCAACTCCGTTAAAACCCGCAGGCTCGACTGCGGTAGTCTGCGACTGAGCTATCTATCTTGTGCCCACATCTACGCGACGTCGTTACTGTCACCCTCACTCTTCGCATCTTCGCTCTTCAGCAACAAAGTTCTATGAGGTTGTCTTTTTCTTTAATATTATTCTTACTAACGATGTTCACACCTTTCCTAAGCTTAGTTTTTGTTGTTGGTGTTTTTTTGTAAAAGGTTTTTGGCTGTTGTTTCGCTGTTTACGGGTTTTAAGGTTCTGGTCCGGAGGAGCTTGGTCGGCAAAAGAGATTTCGTCGTGGGGTGTTATAAGGTGTCGTCTGTGTCTTTTTTTCTCCTCTTCTGGAATTACGCTCGGCGAAGCTCGCTTGCGTGACGCTTGTGTCGAGGACGTGTCCACCGTGAATGACGAGCCACGACCTCTATTGTAGTTGTTGTTGTTTTCTTTTCTTTTTCTTTGTGTTGCTCCTATTTTTACTTATTTTTAATTTTGTTTGTTTGTCGTTTGTCGTCTTGTCTGAAAGGTGCGTGTCTAAGAAGACGTGTCGGTTCTGAGGTCTTCGTGACAAGAAGCATTTAGAGACAAGTAGTCGTTTCTGGTTTTTACTCCATTGTATCATTTAGTTGAAGTTCGTATCAAAAGAAAATTATATTTTAGTATTGTTTTCACTACGTTTCGGGATGCAAATAAATAAAAGATGTATATCGATCAATCAGACATATGTATTACCCTATTACAGCCCATATTTATCACTTTTTTGTTTCTAAAAGTAACTTCTCTTGCGAGAGCCTTGTTTTGTCTTTCGGAGGCTCTTTTATCTGAATTTTCATTCGAACGCAGGGTTCACTCATCTACATATTTCGACATCTACCCTATTATACACATTCAGAACAAGAAGCTTTGAGAATACTGATCGGTGGTTCTAAAAAAACATTTTGTTCATACAGAAACATCGAACATTAGAAAAAAGTAGTGTTTTGCACATAACAAGGGGAAGCAGTAAAGGAAGTTGAATGTTCCCATCCCGAAAACTACAGAAGGCAATAGCCAAGTCGAGCAAAATTATATATACGTAACGATTTGCATATGTACCTGCGCTAACCGTAAACTTATTTGACAAATAGCCTCTACTATCTACGCGTAAAATACTTATATCACAAAGCACGATTCGATTCCGAAGAGTGTTTCATCGTACGCAACCTACACACTGCAAGGTAAACAACAGATCAACTTTGCACTGTCGAGATCACAAATGGCAAAGCGCTCTTCCATTCAACCTACTACTCACTCACGAGTACTATTAATATAAACTTACCTATAAATTTAATATAAAATTTAGTTTGAACCAAACAACAACATTAGAGTCTCTCAAGCATTTGAAATGGGTTTCATTTCGTGTGATATTGCGAATAATCATTTTGATTTTTTTGTAAGAAGATTCTGATCGATCCCAAAATCGTAAAGATGACAAACTGAAGTAGAATAGACTAGACCGAATTTCTGTCTAAGTAATTGCTTAAGCTATGTTTTCTTTTTCTTTTTTTTTTTTTTATTTTTAGTTTGCGCATCTTTTCGGTGTCTAGCCACATGTCATGGAGCCTATGCCAGAAATTTATGTGTTACGCTAGTTCTACGCTATTTTAATTTCGAACTTGAAAGCTGTTTCAGCCTTCATCAAGGACAGGATCTCTTGGCTGCTTAAAATTCCAGACGTCGTATATTTATTCCTAGCTGGAAGGTTGCCTGCCCCGAGTAGTTTTTCAACAAATGCGATATTTTATTTTATCAGCTACTATGACCTTGTATTGGTAACGTTCTTGGCTGGTTTGGCGTAGTATAGAGACGTTTACTTTATTATTAAACGCGGTGTTTATCCGTATCTATAGTCCACATGAATGCGGCTTCACCATATAAAACCTACGCGGGATTCAGTGTGCTCAAAAGAGAGTGAGTTAAAGTGACATAGTACAGGGGATTGAAACATTACTTTTTTTATTGCTTAATTTTTGCATTTGTAAGTGCATGCACATAACCTTCCCACAATTTATTGTTATAGAATTTTTATCTCAAACTTTGGCGCCAATATTTAGTGCTGAAAGACACAAGAAAACATCGTAGGACCGGTCGGCTATTTAAGCAACTGAATGTGTTTTATACCTTAAGGAGTAGTAGTATCCACACTTTATGAATATAAACTGTACCCAACGCATTTTAGGTAATAACACATAGGTACGCACCAGACAATGGGTCTCATTTTTGTTCCGTTATTGTCTTTTCTTTTACGCCAGTCTATCAGGAAACACTTCAATCTATGTTAATCACTTGTCCCAATTTTAATGCGATTCTTTTAGAAAATGTGCTAAATTGTCACCTAAACGCTTTATGGATTCCACGTCTAGGCCAGCAGTATCCGTACGGGGTCTTAGTATTAGTACACGGCGAAAGGTGTCCTAACACTTTTTGTTTCTACTTAAAATGTACACGACGAACATACTCCGGCGGATCATTCTGCGATTAAGACAACAAAAATTTAGTATACATTTTTTGTAAAGACATGTTTGGAAGACTCGCCCGGCATACTTCCAGTGCGAGAAATAGTGTTCAAAAGTGGGAAACATTGCAAGCACTGTATTAAAGAACCGTCATAATATATAGGTTTAACTACGCTCCCCTTTTTTTATCCTTGTTTCTTACGCCCTCATTTTAATAAAATGCTCTGTTTTATTTGAAGTTCAACCAAAGCCAGCGCTACATTTCAAGGTAATCAGTCGAGCATTGCTAAAAGTTCATCCCAACGGCGCTCGTTGTCTTTTTGGGTTTTCTTTCACCAAGTGAACCAATCAAGCTCAGAAAAAAAACGCAGGACTGAGCGCATTTGTACGTTCTTCGCGTGATTAGTCTAGGCGCTGATATCAAACACAGGGACAACGATCGTCAGGATGATTCACTTTCGACGCCGATTGATTGGCTCCACAATTAGATTGTAGCCTTGACTGCGGTCGGATTTAAAAGTGAAACGAAGTATATTTCACTTTTGCGTTCACGCGTAGTTTTTGCCCCGCTAGAAAAGATGCATGACAAGAAATAGTATTTATTTGATATTTATTTATTGCGTGCCCAAAAACACCATAATGGTTTTGACATTGGTGCACAGAAGTCAGATTCCTATGAAACGTGCAAACATATGGAAACCACAATAGTCATATTAGAACAGTCAGCATAATAAAACAGTCATAACAAAGTACATAAAATACACATCAGGTGTTAAAGGTAAAATAAGGCATGAAAAAAAATCGTGCTGGACAAGGAGGTTGCATGATGTCTGAATACGATAGATTGGTGACTCCTTTAATCGCATGTCGGGGTAGAACATGCCGCACTGTCGCGTGAATTTCGTTGGCACACGTAACTTTTTGCTGCCCAAAAGGTCAGGTACGTCAATTAC